CGTTTTTGAATTATGGGTTGGTGATCAGAATCATACCTTACTTGTTTTCTTTAAAGCCCTTTACTTTAATAGGGTGCATAATTACGGCCAAAGATTGTAAACTCCATTATGGACCGATAAAATATCAAATTGCCTTCACATAACTATGAAAATACTGATATGTTACATTAATAAACTACATGCAAGAGTGATCTGTGCAGTAAGAATTTTTTCCTGCATTATTTTCACAACTGCTAAGCAGTCATTAATGTTAAGATCCCCCTCTTATTCATTTATTAATCTAAAGTTCACATAATTATATGATATTCATGTATTCACATGTAATTGATTAACAAAATAGCCAAAATGTTACATTGATAAAATAGCTTAAATATTCTTTCAGTTCTGAAGCTGTCAGGCATGAATTTCCTCATGATAAAATCAGGTAAAGGTAACTTCTTTTAAATTTCCTCATGGTGGAAAAGCAGACTAAATCATAAAGTTAAGTTTATGTTTATGTTTTAGCGTTTTCTTTGTTAATAAAATGGTTTGCTCAAATGGCAAGAACTCAACATTTACAATATAACCTCATGGTCTTTCTGAAAACACTCCCAATGACTGTTCAACTTTGGAGAAAACCATCTTGAAATCCCTGAGCACCTTGATGCGCTCTTCTCCATCTTTACTTCTGCTGTCTTTGCCGTCTTTGTTGGAGTGGTCTTCCTTATTTGCCAATCCATCTGACAGATTAAATGCCACCTAAACCAGTAGCCAAAATAGTTTAAAAAAATCGCTGATGAGCACTTCACTTACCAACAATATGGGAAGTAAAGAAGATATGTAGTTAAACATAGCATATCTGCAATTGTGTTCAGTTGCAGATATTTCACAGATAAGTAGGAACTTCTTTCAAATATCTGCAAAGTATCTGTCCAAATTGACAGATACTTAACATATATGTAGGAGAGCGAACACAGTGAGTTGGGGTCTTCTCAACCATGATGTCCTTAAAAATCCTCTTTACTGTGATATTTAAACCTGTGTCCTTGAACAAGATTAAATACTGATCACAAATGTAGGGTATAGAAAAAATTTCCCTCTGTCAATTTTCTATTTGTACATCAATTTACTTGCTTTGCAAATCTAACATGAGCACATTTCAACCTTTTAAATTAACAAGAGGGTCGTTGTTGTCTTAAAAAATGTTAAGCTTACTTGCATCGGCTATTCCATTGCCGTCAACTGAACTTATATCTGGAATTATTTCATTACTGTTCGCTTCTTCGACGTTTTCATAAGCGTGTGAAGGAAGTTATTCATAATTTTGTACTTCAATGCTATCCAAAACTGAGCCTGAATCAAAAACCGTGTCTTGTGGTGAGAATCCTGGCCATCCATTTTCAGCTGTTGAAGAATAGTCCATTTTACAGTTGTGTGCTTGGTTGCCAAGCCTTTGAATGGGAGTGAGGCTAGGGTTGACCTCGTTATGACACAAACCTTGCTGCCTTTCAAATGTAAATCCCTTTGTTATCATGCTAAGTAGATACAGGTCTCTATCACAACAAGGTTACCTTCAGCCTCACTCTGAATCAAAGGCTTGGCAACTAAGTACACAACTGTAGAATGGCCTATTAGCAACCATCGATCCGTTCGAACCATCGACGCGATCTTCAAGACACCGTGGAGTTAATGGAGGGGGTGGTCTGAAATTATTACAGCTTGGAGCTTCGATTAAGGCATTCCTCACAAGACGACTCAAGCAAAGGATTTGCAGTGCAACGAAAAGTTGTTGAAACGCTTGCGTTTTCTTGAACCAATCCATTCGTCCGCCATCTTGCTTGACGCTGTAGATCGACGAGGGGGAATGGGACCTAAAGTACAAAACGCGTTTGACTAGGTATGCTGAAATTTCACGGCTCTTCCGGCAAACTTTGTCTCTTTGGCGGCACTTTTGTTTTCTTTTTGTGGTGTGATATATTTCAGCTATTCAAACGCTTGCATTTGGCGTCGTTTTAACGTGCTGCAGATTTACAATTTGGCTTACAAACGAAGATGAGCTCCGAAAAATGTCAAAAAGGAATCAACGAGTTACCAAAGCACTGACACATTTTCAAGAGGATACTGATGAGTGACTCATATTTTTTCAGTGGTGAAACTTACAAACTTTTTTTTTGTTTATGTCGTTCATAATTGTGAACGACTTTATGGAAACTATGAAATTGTTTGTACCAAGACTAATAATCTTAGTTGCTGATACCCTGTTCCCCTATAGACTTTCACCTCGTGAAATTTACTAAGGATGGAATAAAGTGCGTACTGGGCAGAGGTAAAGTTGAGATTGCCGATGACGATGTTGAGGTAGTTCTGGGAGGATGCGAATAGCAAAGGGCTGGTTCCCAGCGATAATTCTCGCTTTTGGTGGTTGTTAAACTGAATAACCCCTCATTCTTTCTTTTTTATCTCAATAATCGCTCTTAGTTATGGGCGCCTCAGTCTATTAGCAGCAATCTATTCTTATTGTAAGAAATAGACAAATTTTTTGAGAGACATGTCTCGGCATGCTTATGCCATCTTCAATCAATGAGTAACTGAACGTGAGTACTTATATAGCATACAAGTA